TTGCTAGGTAGATGAGGGTGATCTTAAATTCCTGATTCCCTAAGTGCTGGAATTACAGGGGGCACCACTCTATTTTTGAGGCTAGGTCTCACCAGGTAGTTCAAGTTGGTTCGAAAGTATGTGTGATCTTCCTGCCTCCACCTCCTGAGTCCTGGGATTACAATTATGAGCCTCTCTGTCCCTGCTTCTCTCCCTCTATGCAGTAGGCTACATCTCACTAAGTAGCTTGGCAGACCTGGCTGACCTTGAGCTAACAGAGGTCCACCTGTCTCTGCCTGAAAACTGCTGGGATTAAAGGTGTGTGCCATCATGCCTGGCTATCTGCTGTCTTTATAAGTTAGGTCTGACTGGCTTCACCACACTGACCACATGGACAACTTGCCTTCCATAGTAACATTTTCAAATGTAACTTTTCAAGTAATGGTTACTTGATAATTTTCATCTTCTAAATAAAGTCAAGCATATAATTTTGTTAATGTCCACTTGAATCCTCACCCAAACAAGGCAAAGTTAGTTGATACATAAACTAGCATTTTGCCTTCACAACTGAAGACACACACACACACACCCTTATCCTTTTTCAAAAACATGGACCTGGTAGACCTGGTCAGTAAACTAGGCATGGATGTGCATACCTGTAATACTAGCAACTTGAGAGGTGGATGGAGAAGTATCAGATCAGGATCATGTTTAACAACAGTCTGTGCTATATGATACCTTATCTCTACATAAATACATAGATGAATTTTCCTAGGAAATAGTAGTAGGGATTTGCTATGACCTTTAGCAATTGCTAGGGACTACAGATGGAAACAATAAGCAAGCTGCCAATAGTTGTAATTATCGAAGAAAACCATATAACTCTTCATTGCCACATTTTGTTATAGTCATTTAAATGATACTTAATCATGAGTTTTAAACATGTATACACATATGTTCCAGACACCAGTAGGTAGCATTGATAGGAAAACACAGCTGTTATGTTCCAGCCACCCCTCCATAAGAATACAGTATTAGAAACTATGTATGGGGAACATACAGTCCATGAGTCAAAACCTTAAACTCTGACCTAAGTAGGATCAAGCTCAGCACATGAGCGAAGTTCCAGCAGCAAGCAGGCAGAAAGGCTGAGTGACCTGTTACCTACCTGTACTAGGCCTTTGGATGTGTTCATTTTCGGAGTTACATACTGACTAAGTGGCAGTGAACTTGATTTAAATCTGAACCATGTATCAGAAGGACCAAAACACAATGGAACTCTATAGTCTTTAAAAGGTTGCTGCCCCTCTCCATGCCCCTCCACATGCTTATATTGTGAAAACTCTGAACTGATCACATTCGTTTTTCCTTTAACCCCACCACTCCAGTCCAACTGCCTTTTGAGGTATGCACTTTGTTTTGTGACACCAGGGGACTGAACTCGGGGCCAAGAGTAAATTGGTCAGTCCCTACCACTGAACTACCTCTCTAGCCCTCCTCCTATATTTGTGTATCTTCGAGCTATTAAACATACAGATATTTGTATTTCACCTTGAAGTAAAGCAAGAGTGAAAGGAACAGAGCCCTACTGCTGTTACCAAACAACCCTGGATACACGCTTTTACAAAAAGACACACAGATCTGAAATTCAAAACTCATTTATTGAACGAATAGTATATGCAAGAATATCAATAAAAGGAAACTAATACTACAAACTACAATTTTGAAAATAAAGCCAATATAACAGGAACAAAATATACATAACATGTGAGGAATGTTTGATTTTTGACCCATGATGCATTCCTTATCTTTACAATTAAATGTCTGTTAAAACAAAACTGTGCCTTGGTCTAACTTCAGTGCTTTTTCAAAAAGCAACAACATTCTACAACACTTCTGCTTTGAGATATTTGAGATTCACACATTTGTTCAAGTACATGGAATCGATTCAATAGCAGATCTCTAGATCATGTTACTGTGTTAGTATCTTGAGTAGTGTATACCGAACAAGTACCACCTTAAGTTGAGACTGCTGATCCTTGAAATGAAATTTACTTCAGGTGTGGGTTTTTAAACAATGAGATGAGAGTAAAACTCCCCCCTCCCCCCAGGAACTTATTAAAGTATAGAAACGCAAGTCTACCCTTCTACTCTAAAGAACATTTCCTACTAACATTTCTGGTAAGGCAATAAATGCTCCAGAATAATCTTCAATATACGCTTGCAAAGATTACATGTTTTAATATTAATAATGACAAAAAAGAATAAAACAAATAAAGAAAAACAAGAAAAATTTCAGGCTAAAATACGCATTGGACAGCAATGGCAGTATTTTTGGAAATGATGTAAATGCCATATAATTACCAAATAAGGTCATGCTTATTAAAACTACAGTTAAAGACTTAAGAGATGTACAGTAAATACACTGCTGAGGTCCATTTATCTAAATAGTAATACCACAATGTAATTACTAGCCAGGTGATGAAAATGCTACTTGGGAACATAAGTACTGTACAATTTTTACATTGTAAGGCACTTTTACTCAGCATAGAATGAAAACAGTAACAAAGAGTCAAAATATTGGAAGTTGACACCCAAACATGAGTTTTTAATGTGACTTCACTTTTAAATGAAGGTTATTTAGCCAATCACACCACAGTGAGAAAAACAGGTAGTCAGCCATTTATCTAACCAACCAAAAGGTAAAGTGCTTTTCTGGTGGCTAGAGGCAGAGAAAGGGCTGAAGAAACCCATACAAAGTCAAACATTTACTACATATCAAATTCATCAACTGACAGCTATAGTATTTGAAGTTCTTTATATAATTATTGACTGGCCATAATTACCCCTGGCACCTTCCATTTTTCTTTAAAAAATCATTACAGTAGTTGTTCAAAAATGAAGGAGCTCTATTTCTCCACGGGTAAGTTCTATGGCACACAATGTAAAAATTACCTAGACACAGTGATTTAAAGATTTAAAAAATAATGTTTTCAAGCTGTTGTAAGGAAATAAAGTACAGATCCTTTGGAAAAAGTCACATCGCTTGGTAAACAAACTGAGATCTGTCCTTGCACTTCAAGTCATGATGAACCTTGAAAATTAATCACATACACATCATGGCATATTAAGAGCAAAAGGAGAAGACGTACAAGGCAATCCACTACTAAAGCTAGTTTCCTTCTAAAGTAACAATAAAAGATGGTTAAAATAAAGCAAGCATTGAGTCCCTTGATTTAAGTTAATGTGTAAATACACACTTTAACAAATAAGATCTTAAGGGACTAGCAGTTTAAAAATGCCGTCAATAAGCACAGTGTAATTTTCCACCTGTTACATTTAAAAATGCTGTTCAACCAGCTGCAGAATAGATCAATGTACAGTCAAGTTAGTATGTTGTTTCTTATTTGCAAATCTGATTCCTTGTGGTAGGTTAACTAATAATTCAAAACTCAAAATCCCTACCTTTCGTACTGAGGTGCTATGGTAATATTAGGCAGACCACAACTAAGTTTTTTTTTTTTTTGGTTTTGCCATAAAGAAATATATAAATGTGCTTCAGCAGGTAAGTGGAAGAGTGTGCCACCAGCATGAGAAGCCAGTGGAGATCCTTTCTAAAAATCTGGTGATTAAGAAAACCTTTCCAAGCCCTAGGAGAAAGCAGGGCACAAATGCCTACTCATTATATAATCCAATGACTGAAAGCATTAAATAAAGTTTCTAAAACAGTGGTCACAAAATCAAAAATAAATACTGTTTAACTCATAGATGTTTTTTTTTTCCTTTTTCTTTTTTTCTTTCTTTTTTCTTTTTTTTTTTTTTTTTTTTTTTTTTTACTATATTAGCACATAATATCTCCTGATATACTTTGGGCTAATATGTGATGCATTCCACACAATAGGGCACTTGAGAGGAACTGGCTTCAGACATGGTGTCCAAAGACCTTAGCACATTGGTACCCTCTTTAACCTCAAAGAGGTTCAATTTGCTGCTGTCAGAAGTTATTTTGATCTTGATGGGATTCCATTATTTTTCCAGACCCTCACTGAACAGCACAGAAAGATATACTGTTAAGAGAATTTGGGCAGATGCACTAGAGCTCAGAACTTCTCATCACCAGTTGCCCAGAGTCCATGCTAACCAGTGAGAACAACTCTAAAAAGAACCATGGGGAGGCTTCAGCACCCTTCCCAGAAGAAACAATTAACATGTGCTGTCAAAGCCAAGACAAAAATAAGGTTCTTTTCATTTGTAGTTTTCATTGCTTGAGCATGAAAAAAAAAAAAAAAAAAAAAATCCACAAGTTACCAGGTGCTGCCACCGGAGGCGTGTTTGCATCTTGAAGTACAACTTGCTTCCGGTTTCCTTTGAGCATGGATCCACTACAAACTTAAAACACCCTAAATAGTAGAACTTTATTCAGTCCAGAAATACAGTTTACTTCATTCAAGGTCTGCTTTAACTGCTGACAGTATACACAGGGTTAATAGTGTTTCGATTGCTTCCCAGAAACTGCAAACTATAGCTACATAATATCGATATGTCATATTCGGCCGTCTAGTGAAGGCTCAGAAAACAAACAAGGTGTTTTTAGGCAGTTCAATAAAGATCTAAGACTCGGGCAGTAAAAAGTTACAAACCCTTTTTATTTTAGAAAAAAGTGAAAAAAAAAAAGCATAGGAGTTACAAATGTCTTATTCTCAGTTTTCTAACTCTCTCTGTCCCACGAACCTGTTTAAAAGAGAAAACATGTAAAAGATGATATAATCAACATAACATTATTGAAAAATAGGGATATCTTATTGATTCCATATTCTGACTATATTTACTGATAAAGTAGATAGTTTGTTTTTATGGTTCTAAAACTGAACAACTACACACACACACACACACACACACACACACACACCTGTGTAGGCCTATACAATCCTCATCATACTGGCTCCACACTCATAACTCAATACAATAGGATTAAAATTCATGCTGCACATCATCTTTCTGTTTCAGTGTGCATGGTATTGTGACAACAGCTCATCAAATCAACTTCCATACCTAGTTTCCATTAAGCTGCTGCTGGGTTAGTTGCTGATCAATGGCTACTCTTCCCCGGCTTTTACTTTCTCGTTCCTCATCTTCTTCATCTCGTTCATCATTTCCACTATGATTTTTACAATATAGTCTACAATGATGAAAGACAAACATCTCAAAATCTTTGGTCTAATGTTGATGAGAATATAATTAAATCACCATTAGCAGAGGCTAGTTCCCTTATAAAATAGGGGTTTCCTCATTAACACTTAGCACCATGAGATACACCACCAGGTAAAGGCACCTGAAGATAAGCCCACATGGTGGAAACAGACAATGGCCTCCCAAAAGTTGTACTCAGATCTACACTGTACACCATGCCACAATGTGTTTCCCAACAAAGAAATAAAATAAATGTAACAATTTTCTTTTAAAAAACACTTCTATAGACAGGATGGCTATTCGAGTTTGAGGCCAGCCTGGGTACCAGAGTGACATGCTGTCTTAAAACAATCCAAAACAAAATCCAAAAATTAACTTTCTGGTAAATAAATGAACTGACCAAATACTACAAGCTTATTTCAGGTACATAATTTACAATCATGTTTTGAGAAATAGTTTTAAAAATATTTATTTTGTATTTTTTCTTTGTGTGTATGTGCACACAGAAGCCAGAAAATGACACTGGATTCCCTCTCTCAAAGAGCAAAATGTGCTCTTAACCACTGAGCCTTCTCTCTGGTCAAAGGATGTATTAAAGGTGCAATGGCCTGTGCTTAATCTCAGGACCCACACGATGAAAGAACACAAATGAACGAACACAGGAACAAACAAACACACACACATACACATACACACACAGAGAGAGAGAGGCAGACAGAGATCTATTCTCTATATACTGTTACTTTCTGCTTATATTTCATGAGTCTCCCTCAAGCTTATCCAGTGACACTGCATCATGAACTTATTGCCTTTCCTACAATATCTGTATGAATCAGCTGTTTCCCCTGCATTGTACTTGGCTGTGTCTGTTCATCTACACTGACCCTTCCAACATCTTTTCATTTCATAATACTGACCTTTTAAAGTCCTGATCGGTACAGGCAGCTTGTCAGCTACACCAAACTGGACTTGTCTAGTGCCGTTTTATTTGGTTCTTTCACCTGGTATCATACAAACCAGGAATAAAAACTGCATTTCATCAGCTTCTCGTCCAGCTTTAGTCTATCAATCAGGATGTTCTTCTATAACTGATCCTGTCCTGTAATTTCCAATTGTCCCCCATCAAAGGTGCTATACTTAAATCATATGATTAAGACAGCAGTGACCAAGGCAGAGTTCATCCTTGTAAATGTAATTTATCCCTTAAAAACAAGGAAGTGGTTGCTGGAGTGATTTTTTTTTCCTTAAAATCATGCTGTGCTGTTCCAGCAAATATCAATTTGGGAAGATACACTGTATATATGAAATTCATGAAGCTTTTCAGAGAAAATAATTTAGGTGGCTTTTGATAATTAGCTGTGGAAGGGGGAATACAAGTCCAAGGCCTGACTAGACAACCTCGTGAGACCCTGGCTCAGGAAGAAGGAAGGAAAGAATAAAGGAAGGAAGGAAGGAAGGAAGGAAGGAAGGAAGGAAGGAAGGAAGGAAGATGGAATAGTGCCTTCTTGTGGTCATTAGAGAACAGAGGGTCCAGAAGGCAGAGGCCTGTAACTAGACCAATGACTCATTGCAGTGAATACTTGCAAGTAAACACATAGGGACTAAAGTCCTATGTGTGACTCACTGTGTCATACTGTGGCTTCCTTGATGAGACGCCCTCCCTTTCCTTTAAATTTGATTTTGTTTTTTTTTTTTGGGGGGGGGGAGAGTTGCAAGGACGGGATACAAAGGAACAGGGAAATGAATGGGATCAGGGTGCAAGATGTGAAACAATAAGATCTGAAATTCACGAAGAATCAATAAGAAGTTGTAAAATTGGTTATTTTTCACTAACATTTGGATAGAACAGAAGGTAAGGATGGGCTTGGAGTACTGGAATTGAATACAAGCTACATGGGTTTTTTCTTGGGGGGGGTTGAGGGGGCAGGGCCTCATTACGTAGCCAATGAGAACAATCAGTCCTAGAGGCAGACCAAGAACTCATGTAGCCTAAATGATACCAATACAATGAATCCAATTTAGGATTTGGGGGGGGGGGTTGTTTTGTATTTTTGAGACAGGGTTTTTCTGGGTAACAACTCTTGCTGTCCTGGAACTCACTCTGTAGACCAGGCTGGCTTCAAACTCATAGAGCTCCAATTGACTCAGCCTCCTGAGTGCTGGGATTCATAAAGGAGAGCCCCAACACCGCCCACCTCAATTTAGGATTATATGACCCAATCAGGCTTCAAACTCACTGTAGCTGCAGCTGCCCTAGAACTCCTGAGCACTGGGATTACAAGCACACAGCACTCTTGCAGCGTTTATCAATCCAGTTTTGTTCTTTCCCTTCATGTAAAACATTTAACAACTTTATGAAGAATTTGTCCTTTTCAAATATTGCACATTGGGACTGCAGCATGTATTCCGATTATTTTTCTTTTTTTCCTAATTATTTTTCAACCATGACTTCGGATATTAAGAAAGAGTGAGGTCTCTAGACAGTTCTACCACCTATTAAGATTCTTCCCCCAAACAGCCTCAATCTAACTTAAAACTCTGAACCAACTTAAAATTTACAGGAAATGTAGAGGGAAAAGGAAACACAAGTAACGAGAATCAGGGCAGTAAACAAACAAGTATCTGAATTAGGAATTTTTACAAGACAGCTTAGAGAGGTCCTTCTAGGGGAAGAGGAGGTCAAAAATGAAGTCAGGTGGGGATTGCCCATACTGTTTATTGTTCAAAATAAGAACCATTCTGCAATCTCCCTTCATTGGGTGGGGTGCTATCCTCACCCCTTTCTCCCACCCCCCCCTTGCCCGGGTTCCCTTGCCTTTTAAATTATAAAAGTCAGGGCTCAAAAAATGGCTGTTAAGGAAGAAAAGCCAAATTTAAGTGGTACAGATGCCATTTCATTCAGAAATATTCCTTTGCTTTACACCTGTTTGGATATTTCTCTTGAATTCAACAGATTATCTGCAACTGACATTGCAGGGATTTAAGCATGTTTAACTGTGAAAAGAACAAAAAACAATTTAAATTATCACGGCCAAATATTTTTTAGAGGTGGCCACTGAAACATGATTTTCTTCCATTTTTTTTGAGATAACAGCCTCACATGACTTTGAATTTGCTATGTAGCAGAATATACTTGAACTGCTGAACTCCTGCCTCCACATCCCAAGTGCTGTATACACACTTGTTGTTATGCTAAGATAGGGACTGAACTCAGTTTCATGCCTGCTAGGCAAGGTCTCCACCAGCTAAACCAACCCAGCACTGAAATATGACTTTCCTGATGGCTAAACAGTTAATATGAATGTCTAAAACAGGAACCAATAAAAAACCAATTAACCCATACAATGGAAAACCACACAACCATTAAAACTGCCGGTAGAATTGTTAACGTCTCAGATACAACAAATAAAAAAAGATTGTAACCAACTGCCTTCCACATCTGACATCTTTCCTCTGTGCGCCTTGTAGGTGAAAACAACTCAAAATCTTGTTAAAGCTGCGATTTTTCCTGTTACACAGGGCACACCAATTTATTATAGACAGAAATTATGCTGAATACTGCTAAGATAAAATTGTTAACATTTTTGCATTTGCTTAGCATTATATTGGTTTCTAGATTAATTTGGTGACTATGTATTTTTAATGCTAAGTCCTTCTATTGAGAAATGCAATATGCTGCACCTGAGTGCTTAGCAAAATGCAACTGTTTTTAAAATTGGTGAAAGTTGAGGGTGGGGGGGGGTTTTCCTTCACATTTTCAAAACCAATTAGTGGAATTGCCTTTTCGAAGGCATCTCATGTTGTTCAATCATACTGTGCTTTCATTAATTTTCCTGAGTTTAGACTTGATTCCTTTGCATTTTCTGGTAGACAATTATCAGTAACAAGAACTCATCATTGGTATTTATTGTACATTTTTGTTATGGTGCTAGGGATGAAACTTGGGGTCTTTTGAATGTTCTAGTCAAGTGTGCTACCACTGAGCTGTGCTTCAGCCCCTCTTTCTTTTCTTGTTGCAAGAGCTAACCCTCCAGAGCAGTTGAAGGTAATGTTGGTAGTTGGCACCTTTGTCTTGTTCCTAATCTGAATGAATACGTGTGTTCAGTCTAATTGTTCCATTAGGGAAGAGCATGAGCATCACCTCAAGTTTGATCCTCAATGCAGATCTACTGAGTTGAAACATCTCTGTAGGTTACAGACATAGACATTTCCAACCAGACCCAGTGAAAGCCTGGTAATTCTGAGACCCAACCGTGCATCAGGATCATTGTTCTTTCACTTCAACACTAAATAAACTACTTGTTTTCTCCTGGGCACCCTATTATGATTAACTTAGCAAAGGTGCCATTGAAACGATACTCACTCTAAGATTCAGAAATTGACACCCAAAGTTATAAAGTGGGCTTCCATCCTTTACCTGGAAGGTGGCAGCATGATTTTTCTTTATTCATTTATAATAGTTCACATGAACACTTATTTTCCAATTTTAAACATCGGGTTACAGAACTGGGATTATGTTTATAGTTTCTGTTGACTATACAAACACACACACACCCCGATGAGACAGCTGCAGCTTGTTGATTTGAATGGTTTGCTATTACAGTTAAGCAAGCCTTACACAATAAAATAAAGTTTTCCATTTCTTGCTATGTGTTAGATCTCTATATTAGTTATTTTTCCTGCATATTAAGCCTGTGGAAATGTTTCATAACTCTCAACGGCAAATCAAGTTTCAGGGATTCTTATCAAATTTATTCTCCATTTGGTGAAAGGAATGGAAGAACTATAGATACACAGGTAAGTGGAAGACCCATTACAAAAAGTGGTGTGCAATCCCAAGTTTCAGAATATAGTGTCTCCCTCTCTTGTGTGAAGACTGAAGCAGAACTTTATACACACACACACCAAGCAAGTACTTTAATCTGAGTACATCAGGTGGACCAGAAGCAAAAAGGAGACAAGTTTAATAAGCATGCTACTGTTGATGACCCAGAAGAAAACAGTTGATAATTTAGACTGGAGTGTAGTTTTGAAGACAGAAATCAAAAGATGTCCTGGCCAGATAATAAAGTATAGCATGGGAAGGCTAGACAAGGTGTACACACCTTTAATTTCAGCACTCATGAGGCAAATACATGTGAGTTTAAGGTCAAGGACTACCTTGTCTACAAAAAACAACCCTAGAATTTGTCTCAGTGCAAGAATACTTACTTGGGGTATGTACGCCAGAACACCTGTGTTGTGTTTACCTTTGTCTTTTACATCTCAGCTCCAGCAGTTTGGTTTTCTATTTTTAGCAAACTCTTAAACACTTCTTACCACAGGTTGCTTAGCTCTTTCATCTAGATTCTTGAGCACTGGCTTGTCTGGTCATTTAAATGGTAGGTAGAGTTGTTGGGACAGCCCAACAAACTAAGTTTCCTGAGGACCATTGTGAGCCTGACTGACTACTAGAGAATGACCAACACATACAGTCAGAGAAAAATGGTATCTGTAGTTCTGATTCCTGATATAATAGTGTCATTATTCTAAAATTGCCTGAATCAGCATCAAAGAACAGAGATTAAGAAAACTAGTGTTATCTTTCTAACATGTTAAAGAAAATAGAGCAAAATATAGACAATTGTCATCTTACTTGTAAATTCCTCGTGACATATTTTCAATGTATTTTGCTTTGTCTTGTACACCACAGTGGTAATGGTAGGTTTTAACACAAGCTTTTATTTCACATCCAATAGTAGCACCAGGCTGACTGCAAAGTGTACATTTCTGTTAAGAAAGGAAGACTCATTAGAAGTAGTAGCTCAAGGTTTAGGCAATTGTATTTACTCTATTATAAGCATATTTTATCCAAGTACTTCAGTTTATATAGAAACAACAGCCAGGAGCTGCTGAAATGACTCATTGTTTATGAGTACTTGCTACTCTTGCAGATGACTAAAGTCTACTTCCCAATAACCATGTTGCACAGCTCATACATGCCTGTAACTCCAGGTACCCACTGTCTTCTCCTGGCCTCCATGGGCACCCACATACATGTGTACATATAGGCAGACACACACACACTAAAAAATTAAGAAAATAGCAGCTATTTTCTACTAAAAATTTCACTAACACAGCAAACTTATATAGCATACAATCAAAGCTGTAACACCATATATGGTTGGACTGTAAATACAGCTGACACGCCTTAATTTTTGCCAAGCACAGAAGAATAATATTATGTATTTCAGTGGTTTGACTCCGTTTCCTTCCTGAAATCCGATCCTTTCCTATCACGATTGGAAAAAAGAATGAGAAAAACAGGAAAACAATCCCTTCATTAGGAGGCTCACTACTAAGTTTCCAGAATGACAAAGGGAGACAGACAGGGCTGAAAACTTTTCAAAACTTCTCAGCTTCTTCTAAATAATCAATAGTGAGATTAACAGGTGCCCACGGCAAAAGAGGGTTCACAGTGCAGTCAGTCTGACAAACAGGAGCTAGGCAGATTGTCTTTTCCCACAATGTTTCATAGCCCTTCTCCAGCAAACAGCTTACAAGTTTATTTAACTGCAGCTGGCCTTTTATTTTTGGAGTGGTGGGGGAGGATGATGATGGACTAATTTCTCTTAGAGTATCTATGGGGGATTGCTAGGTTAGCATTTACCCTAACCTTTAAAAGAGCCACACCATTCATTCACCAAGAGAACTGAACGTCTGTCCACACACTTATTTAGACCTTTGTAACACAGCACTGCTGCGTAAGAGGTGATTTAACAACCAAATGACCTGGGTCTAAGGAACAGATAACTGTCACATTTTAAAATAGGAAGTTCCACAAAGAGAAGGTCACTTCTGGTGAAGTTGGCCAAGGACCATAAACATCCAAAGCTGCCACATGAAAGACTGAAGGAGAACTTTACAAGAGACTGACTGTCCCCACCATGATGTACCCGAGAGGTAAACCAATGGATGATACAGTCCTTCTTGTGTAATACGGTTCCACGAGTTGAAACTGAATCTATTCATGCCCTTATGTGTAATTCCCAGTTTATTTCTTTTTTTAACAATTATTTTGTGTTATGAGTGTTCTGCCTATATGCATATTTGTATGTGCACCACATGCATGCCTAGCTCCCTTGGAAATGGAGTTAGACAGTTTGTGGGTGCAAATGCAGCCAGTACTCTGCTGAGCCAATGCTCTAGTCACTTAAGATTTATTTTTTAAATATTTTTAATATTATTTGTTTTTTATTTTTATTTTTGGGACAGGATTTCTCCATGTAGCTTTGGCTGTCCTGGAATTCAATTTGTAGACCAGCCTGGCCTCAAAATCGAGATCCACTTGCCTCTGTCTCCAGAATGCTGGGATTAAAGGGGTGTGTCACCACCGCCCAGCCATATTTTATTATATGTGTATGGCTGTTTTGTCTGCATGTCTTTCTATGCACCACATGCTGGCAGTGCCTGTGGAAGCCAGAAGAGGGTGTAGGGCTCCTACAATGGTACTTACAGATGGCTGTAAAACATCATGTGAGTGCTAAGAATTGAAACCAGTTTCATTGGAAGAATGGCAAGGGCTCTTAACCACTGAGTCATCTCTCTAGCCCCTTATTTAATTTTTCAAAAGATTTATTTTTAATCATGTATAGGTGGTATATCTCTGTGTGGAAATGTACACATGTGAGTCAAGATACCTGTAGAAATCAGAAGATGGTGTTGAATCCCCCTGGGCCTAGAGTTAATAGGGAGTTATGATCTGGGTGTTGGGAACCTAACTCAGGTCCTCTGAAAGAATAGTACATTCTCTTAACCCGAGCCATCTCTCTAGTCTCTGTAATTCCCATTTTAGATAGAAATATAGAGGATGAACAAACAAGTTTTAAAGCAAACAAATGTAGTGTGTGTTCTTCAACAAGTCAGAGAAAGTGAGATAGAGTAGGCTAGAGAGGTGGCTATGCAGTTAAGAGCACTAGTTGCTCTTCCAGAGGTTCAATTCCCAGCAACTACATGGTGGTTCACAACTGTCTTTAGCTCCAACACCATCTTCTGACCTCCATGAACACAGATACATATAAATACATGTAAACATGCATACACATAAAATCAAAAGACAAATGAGACAGAGATTGGGAAAAGAAAGCACAGATGTGTGGGGGTAGGGTGTGTGTGTGTATATGTGTGTGTGTATGTGTGTGTGTGTGTGTGTGTGTGTGTGTGTATATATATATATATATATGGGCTGGAGAGATAGCTCACAATATGTGTACCACTCTTACAGGGAATCTGTGTTTGATTCTAGCATCCACACTGTGGCTCACAACCTCCTGTAAAGCCAGCTGCAGGGAATCCAGATACACACACACACACACACACACACACACACACACACACACACACACACTCACAAATAAATGAAAGACTTCAAGCAGTAAGAATGAACAGCACAGGTGAAATAAGTTCCACAAATTTGGTACAAGCTTGTCTGAATTTTTTTCACAATAAAACTTGAAACAGGTTTGCATTCCACCGGCCCTCTAAGGTTGCGCTTTTTAAAGCTACTGGAAAAAAAAAAGCTTCTTAAAGCTATTTAAAACTATGACGTACTTTATATTAAATTTCTGTGTGACTGGATAAATATGGGATGTGCCCTAAATTTAAAGCAGAATCAACAGTATCATGACATAATGCAAACATATATATATATGCGCAAACATTTATATATATATATAAAAATCACAGACCATCCTTTTTCCTCGCTTAATCTCCTGAAGTACAGTTTTAATATCAAAATCTCCAAATTCTGCTCTTGATGTTGTCGTGAGCTGGACAGTACCAGAAGAAAACAACTACAAAAGAAAAATGTAAAACATAACCACTTAAAAATTTAAACAATACAGTAACAAATTGTTACAGTTCTGTAAACTCTCAGAGCAAAAGACTTTTCCCAAATAATCAAAATCAAGTATTTTAAATATTCTTGTGTCTCATTACAATATAAAACAAAATGGAAATAATTAAAAAAACAACTAAGAGTGCTAATTGAAGCTAAGATTAAATAGCCTCCTTTAAATACCAAAGGTTTCAATAATACCATCAGCCCTGTTTGCTCAACTATATAATATTCCCAGAAAGTTTTAAAAAATAGCTTCAACTGGCAAACTTCAACTAGCAATACAGATCAGAACCTTTTTTGATCATTTATTTTCAAAACATATATACATCTAAAAGCTACTCCATGGGAGTCGTTGGAGGAGACACATTTTGGAAAAGAAAATTCTGGGTAAATACAGTATACAGTCCAGTGCAGACTTATGTTTATTTGGGGCAGTGTTGTCTTAAACGTTTTATTATACTTCATATGTGAGTATGTGCCACTACTTGTTGTGGAGGTCCACGAACTTGCAGGAATCAGTTTTCTCTTTCTGCCAGTTTTCTCTTTCTGGGAGCAGCAAGTGACTTTACCTGCTGAGCCATTGCATAGGCTTGAATTTTGAGACAATGTCTCACTATGTATTCTAGGCTGGACTTGAACTAAAACTTGAAATGCTCTTTCTGTTTCAGCTTCCCAAGTACTGGGTTCACAGACTCGTGACTTCACATCTGGTAACAAGTTCTTATATAAATAAATGTTTAAAATTAATTGTGAGATGCGCAATTCAAAACAATCTATCTCAAAAGAGTAACCAGGCCAGCATATAAGGATGTAAAGACAGAATCTCTCTGGAGAATTTTAGAGTCTATTAGAGAAAACACAAACTCATAAACAACTACAATACAATATTGATTAGGTTATAAGTTGAAGCCCATTCATAATCATAAATGTTCTTATGATTATAAAGATGAAATTCTTATAGAGTATTTCAATGTGGTAGCTATAATTAGTATTACTTCAAATCCTGTTTTTTAAAAAATCTAAAGTATATGAAGATTTGGGGCTAGGTGGTGGTGGCTCACATTTTTAATCCCAGCACTCAGGAGACAGAGGCAGGTGGATCTCTGAATTTGAGGCTAAACTAGTCTACAGAGCATGTTCCAAGAAATCCGGGGCTACACAGAGAAACCTTATCTTGAAAAACTAAAAGATTTGGGAGCATAACATAGTACTTGTGATGCTTTATATTAATTGTCAACTTGGCACAATCTATAATCACCTTGTAGACAAATCTCTGGGCATGTCTTGTGAGGTAATTTCTACCTTAGGCTGAGATGGGGAGACATACCCTAAGTGTGGCTAGCCTAAACCTCTCCTTAAGTTGCTTTGGTCAGGTATTTTGTCTAAGCAATGAGGAAAGTAACTAATACTTCACTAGACAAAGTTCTAAATCAATGTTGAAAATAAAATTACTATATTAGATTACCAGCTAAAGGATTTTTTAAAAAGCACATTAAGAACCATGCCTACCATGCATTTATAATGTGCGGCTGCCTTCTTGGCATTAAATATATGCAACTTCCCTCTCGCTTCATTTTCTTCCTCCCCTACGTGGCAAAATCCACATTTGGGTCTGGTGTCATTAGGACTGCTCCTGTGTGGAGACCTATCTCGCTGTGAATATAAAAGGGAAAAAAAACCCACTTAATACAGATTCAAAGTTTATTTAACATTTCAAAGACACAGTTTAAATGAAACTATTCATGTTCCAACAAACAGGAGGAACCCACTGGTTTTCTACTTACATAGGAACTACTTTCCATTTCGTCTGTTCCATGGGAGGATGAAGATCTGGTGTCTTCCGCCAGCCCTTTAAAATTGGTTTTTCTTGGTCTTCCTTTGCGACTTTTCTTCTTAGTCTTAGGAGATGAGGGCTCCAGTTCGTGTTCATTAAAACTTTCTTCTAAGTCAGCTGCTCAAAAAAGAAACAAAAGTTTTACATGCATCAGCCTTCACAATCGGTACTACTTCCACCAGTCTCTGGGAACTGCGCTTCTCATTTGCATGAAATGGTCCCTAGAAACAGGGAGGCCTGGTCTGTGGTATATTAAAAAGAGCACAGTCCAATAGTGCCCATGTTTCATGTATAAACTGCCCACTAAGAATAGAAAAGGATGAGTTTAAGAACACTAGTCAATACCACACATAGCTAACACACTAGATGATGCAAAGAAGGAACAACAAGGACAATTTTACCAGTGTCAAGTCATGGGCTCTGTAAAAAGCCCAGTATCCACACCACTTAGCTCAGCCGTATCTTCTCCATCTTGGTCTTGTTAAAAGACAGTCCTTTTTAGAAAGTCAGTATAAGGCTTACAATGAGATACTTTAAAAAAACAACAACAACAAAAAAAAAAACCTCCTAGATGTAGCTCATCCTACCGATCTATAGATTACACTCTGCGCAGAAAGGATCTATAAAACTCATTTCCTCTCCTAGTTGCTCACACAGCAGGCTTTCTTTAGCACACAGCTCCTTTCTGTTCCAATCTGTCTTCATTCTAGCAAATTTCAACTGACCATATGTGCAATCCAACGAATACCTAGCCACTCAGTTCCCTTACCTTCAATGATGTCCTCCATCAAGCACCCAACTTCCCAAGTCACACCCAGATACCTCATTATCACCTAACATGCTTCTACCTCTAAAATCCCTTGACGTAACTTTGGGAAATGCATATTTGCTTTCCCTGCACCCATATGGTGGTTTGCAACTATCCACAACTTCAGTTCAAGGGGATTTAGAGCCACCTTCTGGCCTTCTCCATGGACACTAGGCAAGCATGCATATTATACAGAGATACATGCAGGCACACAAAATAAAAATACATACACTGTACAGAAGCCTGGCATTGGTGGCGCATGCCTTTGATCCCAGCACTTGGGAGGCAGAGGCAGGAGGATCTCTGCGAGTTTGAGGCAAGCCTGGTCTACAGAGCAAGTTTCAGTACAGGCTCTTAAACAATACAGAGAAACCCTGTCTAGAAAAACCACACCCACAAACAAAAACCAGTGTATATGAGATTATGCCTCAAGTTCTAGAATTAAAGTATAAACATACACTATATGCCAAGGAAACAAGAGGACCTGATATTCTATAGAAATATATCATGAACCCAAAAATTCAAGCCAATTTGAAGTTATTCATAAAGTATGAAATAGAATTACAACTTTCACTCAGCAACAAGAAGTCAAAATGAGAGTTGAATCCTGGGTTACACAGGATAGGAGAAAACCAACTCCAACAAGTTGGTCTCTCTCTCTTACACACACACATATGCTTGTACTAAATAAGTATATGTAAAATAAAATCATGTTTTAATTACCCTTACTACAGTCTGCACTGCAATGTCTTTTCTCTACCACTAGATGGTACTATTGGCTTCAGAAGCCCAGAAAATAAAATGGGAGCCAGTTATGTTAATTAGTATACATTAATCATCTTTAAGTATCTCAAGTATCCTGTCCCAGTATATTCATATACTTGTATTAATCAGATAATGGATCTTAATCCTCAGCTCTAAACATAGATGGCTACTCTCACCATAAAAGGGCACTGCATAAATACACTATTAAAATTTGAAGGAACAGAATAATAGGAAAGCTTCCTTACAATGGTTCTTTCTTCCCTTTTCATAGTGTTTGGGGTAGAAACCAGAGCATCATGCATACAAAGCAAGCCACCTGCCACTTACCAATGAGCTACACTGCCAGTCCCTACTCATAACCCCCCTTCACAAAAGACTTTTGATCCACTTCTAAAATTGCAAGAAGAAAAATAGGAAAATAGTTGTATGGGATTTCTAATAATTCTATCACCTCAAAAGCATTTTGTTCTTATTGTTTATCCAGTCTATTTCCAATGAGGCCAGAAGAGGGCACTAGATCCCCAGAGTTGGAGTCACAGACAGATGTAAGGTGCCTACTATGGATACTAGAAACCAAGCTTTAGTCCTCTAGAATAGCATCAAATCCTCTTACCCTCCAGAAATACTCTCCTTTAAAAAAAAAAAAAAAATCACAAAACAGACTTTTAAATATCCATTTATTTTATTTATGTACATGTGTGTGTCTGTTTATCTATATTCAATGCTGAGTTTATATTTAACTACTATTTTAACTATTTATGGAATATAGCATAATAACTCAATATATGGTTACAATGTGTGATGACCAAATCATAGTTAGCATGTGTATCTATTAAATCATTTGTTTCAAAAATTTAATTAACATGAACTATAATGAATATATCAATGCATGTTATCTGATGCCTGTAATTTTAACCAGCAATTTAAAGTATTTGTATTAATGTGGATGTCGGATATGAAAACAGTATGGTTTTCTACTATGAAGAAAAAGTATAATAGATCAGAAAGGGCAATTGGCTTTAATATTTATACAGTAAGTAGGTAGGTCGATTTTTCTAAAGATTTATTTTCATTGTGTGGTGTTATGTGGGTGTGTGGGTGTGGTTGTATGCAGGTGTACATGGAGGCCAGAGGCATCAGACCCTAGGAGCAGCCCTGCATGGCAGTTTGGAATCCATCTCAGATCTTTTTCAAGAAGGCTTTGTATCTTATCTAGCCAAGTCTTTAAAAAGATCAACTTCCAAAGCCAGCATGGTGGCGCACACCTTGAATCCCAGCACTTTTAGGTTGCAGGGCAGGCAGATCTGGCTACATAGTAGAAACCCTGTCTCAAAAGAATCAACTTCCTAAAATATCAGTATTTGATCCATTTTAATTTGAATAGAACAGTCTAAGAAGCTAATAAAAAATTTAAAGATTGAGTCCAAGCTAAATGAAAACATGAGTTAATTTGAGATTGAATCTAATCCATTTTATGCTGCTAGTAAATATATCAAAATCATCTGTTTGAAAAAGTTTGATCCAGGGCCAAGGAAGCTCAACAGTTAAAAGCACTAGCTGCTCTTCCAGAGGACCTAGGTTCGATTCCCAGAACCCACATGCCAGCTCACAATTGTCTGTAACTCCAGTTCCAAGGCATCAGATACCCTCCTCTAGCTTCCATGGTAATCAGACATGTTCATGGTGTACAGACATACCTGCAGGCAAAACACCTATACACTTAAAATAAAACAGAAAAAAAAAGTTTTGACCCAAGTCAGAATCTAACTTAAGAACTAACTTTCCCCTATTTTTAAAGACCAAATTCAAATTGGCTAACAATATATAAACATGACTAAACTAGTTTTGTAAATTTAAGTGGAAACAAAATAAGCTTCTATTTTTAAATATAGTTTCTTATAAAAATGTCTAATTTTTCTGGAAAAAGCATAGTAAATACCTATTTATTTCTCAGTGAGGGATGTGTTTTTAAATTCCCAGTCAATACACAAAATCTTGAATAATTCTAAATGTGTTTTTCCTTACATATACCTACTTATGTATGATAAAGTCTGACTTATTAAATTAGACACAGTAAGGCATTAGCAAAAACTAGTAATAAAACATAAATATATTATAATCAAAAGTAACTTAAAACTTGTTTATTTTTGCAAATGTCTACTTGACATTTCTGCATTATAACAGCCCAGAAGTAACTGAAATCATGGAAAGCAAAATCAAAAACACGATGTGTTAAAATTTTCTCAGAATGTATGCTGACCCAAAGTACATTCCTAATTCACATTGTATGTAACAGCTAATGGAAGCAAGAATTCCAATTATCACCCTTACAGAAACATGTCACCCTGACAAAAGCTTTCAATGTATACTTTATAAGATCTCTGGGGTAAAATATTTCTTTAAAAAATTAGCTCTTATTTACATTGGTTTGTTCTAGTGATGTCCCCAACTATAAACACATTTAATGATAAGACCTATCTTAAAGAGAACCAAAACTATTCACTCATATTTTAATTACTTCTTGAAATTAATGACACATACCTTCAGAATTATGTGCAGTTTTCTTGTGTTTTCGACAATAAACCCTGAGGGAGGAGAATACAAAATTATGAACTAAATTAAATTCATTTTTCAAATTAGAAAAATGAGCAGCACAAGCCACCCCATTCATAAACTGTTCTTAAGTTGTTTAACTATTACATGTCAAAATAGCCTTTACAGTGGCAATGAAATGCTCTGAATGAGAAAAAAAACTATCAAAGTCTGAAGGGAAGTATGATTGCTCTAAAACAAAGCAAACGGAATGAGTTACATGTAAATGCCTTGCGAAGGCTTCTCTCGGATCTGAGCTTTATCATGCAGTGCACAGTGGTAGTGGTATGTCCTGTGGCACGTTTTCACATCACAGCCAATTGTAGCTCCGGGACAATGGCACAAAGAACACATCTAAAGAAAAAACAACAAAACAATATTCAAAGATGAGTCTGCTAATACTGCCACAAACAGCTTAAGGGAATTCCAACTTCTGTCAGGAAAATAAACTGGTTATTGGAAAAAAAAAGTCCTAATTCATGTCATTTTTCTTATTTTGTCTCCTAAAAATAATTTGAATAAAATTATTCTGGTGGTATTTTCTCCACTGGTGAAAAACAAACAAACAAACAAAAAATAAACATAGGATGTTATAAATTTTATTTGTCTATGGTCAAGAAAACACCTGTAATACTGTAAATCATGAATCTGAGCTACATACAAATACCAGTTTAAAAAAAAAAGATAGACCTCTTTTGAAATCCAGAAACTACTGGACACTATTAGGAAAAATACCTCACGAGATTTTTTTCCTTAAAACACCCACTTAAATCAGTGAGAGAGCTGATGACACAGCTCAGTGACCACAAACCTACCACCAGTCCCTAGTGCCAGAAACGATTTTTTAATCAGATTTAATGACGATTAAGAAAAATTTAAATGAAAATCTTTGAGAAAAACTCCCCTATACTCCTTGGGAACCTGGTAAAATCAATTGGAAGCTAAGCCAGTAGAGAGGATAAAAGAATTTTAAAGTAGTTTTAATACTTTGAGCCAAGGATATTTTGTGATATAATTGATTATACTGTGAAAATAGGTCTGTCTGCTTCAATTTACTCTTACTTACCTTCTGCATTATGAATTCAAGCCAACAGAAGAAAAGACTCCTTCAACTCAATATATCTTACATTCTAAACTTATTAGACAGTAATTAACCAGCTCATGTGCTATATTTAGAAAACAATTCTTTTTTTAAAAAGTCCATAACAATTGTTATTAATGGTTTCGATTCACAAAACACAGTGTACTGTACCCAGTGGACTTTTAATGTGCCACCTCCTAAGCTGTAAATGCCATATCAAAATGAATCACAGTAAGGTAAAAACAAAACCTTCTCTTTGTTTCCTGGTTGCCACATACTGTGCTCTAAACTCAGTCCTCAGGGGACCAAGGCAAAAGGATGGAGTTTCCAGCCAGCCTGGGCTACATTTACTGAGACTCTTGTCTCCAAAAACCAAACCCAAGATCAAAAAAAAAAAAAAAACACTGATAATTCTAATATTTGGACTTGGTCCCTAAGCAATACTGATATGGTAACAGACTAACATAAATTCCAATAAGGTCCCTAAGCAATACTGATATGGTAACAGACTAACATAAATTCCAATAAAATTTCTCACATTTCTCACAGGAAATAAAACAGTCAAACTCATTTATGCTATCATTTTTAAAATAGTCATGTAAGTAAAAAATAAATACTCTCAATGTAGGTACTTCCCAGAAAACACAAGGGGCACTATCTACTATTAATACCCAAGAAATAACCCACTTCTTCAAATGAGTACCGAAACTCCAAGTAATTACCATGAAAAGAAACGCCAAGTAATTACCATAAAAAGAATAGTGTGCTGATGGGGTTACAGAGCAATTTGCCTAGCATGAGGCCCTAGGTTCCACCTCCAGCACCACCCAAAGTAGGATGAGAAATACCACCTTTATAAAGTTCAGATCCACTGTCCTAGTAATTGCACTTCTTTATATTTACTGAAAATATTATCAAGCATACACAATTTATGTTCAAGCACATTCAGTGAAGAATTATTTTGAACAGTCCCAATTATAAAACAATTGAAACACATTTAAATAAATTACAGAACATTCATATGAAGGAATATTTTATTGCTGCTCCCTTTTCTTTCAGAGAGCATCTCATGTTGTAGCCTAAGTTGGACTCAGATTTGTGATCAGCAGTCTCAAACTACTAAGTACTGGAATCATAGGCATGTCTAGCATACACAGCTTCAAAGTAATGGATCTATATGTGTTAAGTGAGTAAAGGATACAAAACTATGCTAATTTCAATCTCAATTTATTTCTAGTATATAGTCTTTGAAAATGTGTAGAAACTAGGTGGTGGTGGTACATGGTTAATCCCAGTAACTGATAGGCAGAAGAAGGTGGATTTCTGAATTTGAGGCCAGCCTGGTCTACAGAGGGAGTTCCCAGGACTGCCAGGGCTACACAGAAAATACAGAAAGAAAAGAAAAGCAAGAGGGGAGGGGAAGGGAGAGGAGGGGAGGGAAGAAGAGAAGTTAGAAGTAAATATAGCAAAATGCTGGGTTGCTATCTTTGAATGGTTTTAACTCTCCATATTTTCTGATTTTTCTACGATATTCAAAGTATTTTGTTATGTAGAAAGTATTTTTTAAAAGTATGAGTAATAGTGTAGTCAATGCATTCATTGCTTGTCTATCACCTAGCAATGCAAAGGAGCTGGCAGTGGTGACACAGGCCTTTAATACCAGCAGAGGCAGAGGGATCTTTGTGAGTTCGAGGACAGCCAGGTCTACAAAGCAAGTTCCAGGACAGGCACCAAAGGTACACAGAAACCCTGTCTTGAAACAAACAAATTAACAAAATGGAAAGGAAACCAAAGTATACCAGTATTGGGGGGGGCTACAAATTCAGATATGTCCAAAATAAGTAGTGTAAGCTGCTATAACAGAAACCAATTTCATCAATAACCGACTACAGCAACGTAGGAAGATCACGTTTTAAAGCAATCAAAAGCTTATTTTGTTGTCATTTACATTCAATGAAGAATAGGACACAATATCAACAAAAACATTTTAGAGGAGAAACTACTTATCAAGATAAGAACTAGAATTTCTTTGAGGTTTTGGATTTGGGGGAGAGAATATCTGCTTAACAGTTTAAATGATTAATTTTCCTTATTTTTTTTTTAATGTGTATGGGTGTTTGTGTTCCCATGGATGCCAGAAGAGGGCATCAGATACCTTGGAACTGGAGTGACACATTTGTGAGCCACCTGTGTTGGGAATTAAATCCTGGTTCTCTGGAAGAACAATGTTCATTACCACTGAAACATCTCTCCATTCACTTGTTTTACTTTTTGAGATAAGGTCCCACTATGTAGCCCAGTCTAGCCATCAACTGGCAACCCTGCTGTGCCAAACTCCCAAATGCCAGGGTCTTAGGTATGCACTCTTATGCCTGTCACTGTGTTGTCCTAATCATCTATGCTATAACCCAACACCTGCAACAATTGCTTTTCCCTGAACTCCTATGGGACAGGATATATACCAGCTTCACTTTAGTTCTTACAATTCTGTTCCCATATATATATATATATATATTTTATGTAAATGGATAGATTTTACCTACCCATCCCTTCTACATTATTATTATTATTATTATTATTATTATTTTGTAACTGTAGAGAGGACCCTAGGTCTTTGTGTGTGGTAGGCAAGGAGTCTTCAACTGAAAACTAAGAGAGTGCTTAATAAATATGGTGATTTTGTTAATTCTCTTATTGAAGACTGGAACATCTCTCTCTCTCACACACACACACACACACACACACACACCTTAAAAATGGAAAACTTTACCTATTTATGTTCAGGTGCTTCTGAAAATAATAATGAGCTGGATGTAGGAATATACCATAAAACAGAACTCTGGAAACAGGCAATTTCAAATTTGATGGCAGCTAGAGCTCAGTGTTAGTCTTGGCTACATTAGTTGAAACTGTTACTCAGAAACAGTGGCTAGAGAGATGGTTCCCTGGATAAGAGCACTTGTTGCTCTTGCAGTGGGCCCAGGTTCAGTTTTTAGGACCAACACAGTGGGGTCACAAAAATCTTTACCTCCACTTTTGGGATATCCAACACCCTCTTCTTATCTATGAGGGCACTGCACAACACATGTACAACAGTCACACACATTAAAACAAACAAAACACACAGAAAAGATCTTACAAACTGTATGATCCAGGACGGGAAAAAGTGAACTTGAGGACAATTCAGTGAAAAGAACACAGAATTTAGGGAGGAACAAGATTGAGAGCTCAGAGATAAATATAATTAAAGAAGCCAGGAAAGAAGATAGGTGGGTAGAGCCATTTCTGAAAGGCTATGGCAAATGGAAACGAAAGAGAGGCCTTTTCTTGGAAAAAAAAATTAGGAAGGAAGAGAGAGCCACTGTCCTTTTGGGGGGACCTGGCTGCTGATAGGTTTCCCATAGCCCAATGGCTGTCCTGAAACACACGCACATATAGCCTGCAATAATTGGACTCCAGGGGGCTAGTAATAAAAGAAAAAGGACATGACATTAGCAGGGTGACAAGGTGAGGGACCTTAGGAGGAGCTGGATGGAGGTAATGATCAATTTCATAAATTTATGAAATTTTCAAAGCCTGAAGAAAAATTAATTTAAAAGAGGGATGGGCATGATGGTACATGCCTTTAATCTAAGCACCAGGGAAGAAGAAGCAGGGGCAGGCAGGTGTCTACAAGTTCCAAGCCAGCTAGGGTTACAAAATGAGACTCTGTCTCAACAAACAAACAAAAAGACCCCATCATCTTCAGCATCAACATCACACCAAGGTATGCCAGATGGACCCTAGCACTTGTACCCAGTAACTGCCTTATTACAGAAAACATTTGCTCAGCAATTTGCCACAGTCTTTTCCACAATTTGTCCTCCAAAAAAAGACTGTCAGCTGTCATATTAATCATGATTTCCCTGTATCCCTGGCACCTTCAAATGTGGCAAACTTAAGCTAATATGACAGGAACATGTTTTTCAAGAACAACGGTGTCCTTTCCCTGCTCAAAAAAGGGGGCTGACCTACCTAGCAAATATTCTCTTGGGAGCTAATTTTCTTTCCCTCAATGTGAGCATACATGTTAATTGTCAGCTTATTCTGCTTGCAACTTACGCCATGCTCTTGTTTTCAAAAGGCAAACACACTGTCAATGACACACACTGCTTTTCTTTTCCCTTCTCTTCAGCTTGCCCCTGGAAGACCTGATAACCCTCAACTATGCATGTTCATACTCAAAGTCGCAGGGTTTGGGAAAGGAGGCCCTGTCCTATCACAGGCAGTTGCA